TACACACTGGACCTTTAACTTAAGGATCTGCCACTCCTGCCACCATTAATGATAAGCATGTCATAACTAAAAGGAATATTTGGTGATGAACCTGGAATGAGTCTATCTCTTGGGTCACCTTGACAGTCAGCCGAACACAATGGCATCACAACTTCAAGGACATGAAGAAATCACAGAGCTTATTAAGTGAAATTTAACCATTCCAAGCACTTTTATATCAAAACAGATGTGAGAATTTAAATATATAATTGAAATAGTTGAAAATATTTGGAACAAACAAACATTTTGCACTGTTAGTAGATAATAAATGAAAAAGGGAATAAAGAGCCATGAGCTGGTAAATGTGTCTGAAAACAATGGAACAGTTTTATGATTAAGTTTGAACAGTTTTTAAATCACAACCCTATAATCAATAACAGGCCCAGAATATGTTTTTGATGGCAATTTTGGTTTATTAAAGAATTTACACAGTACAGTGAATATTTACAACTATTTACAAACGATTATAGAAATGCACATTTTACAGATTAAATTCATCCAGAGGTAAAAATATACAACTAACAATGTTCCATACTACAAAATCTATCATCTGTATTATGGTATTTACTTAACTGTACAGGTAACTTGGTTTAACAATCTCTTCCCCTGTTTTCAGTGCAAAAGTAAAACATTTCCACATTTGTCAAATAGGTGGAAATAAAGTCACAATGATTATAGTACCGATCTCTACAGACCCTCTCTAACAGTTAGATATTGCTTACAGAACTGGAAATGTAATTATTAATAAAAGAGAATTAGTCAAGATTTAAAAAGTCACATGCACAGAAGAAACTCAAGATAGACAGCACAACAAAAGGACAACACTGATATTAACTGTGCCCTCTACCTCACACCGAGCATCACGTACCTCAATAAATGTACCCATTTTAATAGAACTACAGTAGACAAAATGTCTTCTTTGAGGTAAAAGTGTCAAAGTAACATCTTGTAGAGGTGTAGCAGTAAAAAAGTGTTTAAAACACAAACGACTTTTGCATGTTCAGAGGTTTCAGTACAAGTTCATAGAACAACAATAATATAGCACACTGAGGTGAAAAACAGCAACAAAAGCGCCAAGTTAAGACAATTTGCAATAGCTTACTTGTGGCGACTGTTTACAGTAAGGCACACTGATACAGGTCCCACAGTCACATACAGTGCTGAGAGCCACAGTGGTGAATGCTCTGTTAAGTTATGCATTATTCAGATAATACATAAAGGTAAATAAAGTGTAAGTGTACCCTATTGCATAAAACACCTAAAGAAATTCATCTTAATGGTTACGTTCCCCTCTTTCTGAGAAGACCCACAGACTGCAGACCTCCATGGACACCAGGAGGACAGTATCCTTCACAGTGGTTGGTAAAAATATAAATTTAACTTGAGGTATTTTACACAATGGGACATCAGTACCTGAAGAAGGTAACCTCTCATTATGTGAGGGTCTGAAGTGAGTTTGTATATATTCATCTCTCTGGAAATGAAAGCTGCACCAAAGATGATGGCATTCACTTTTTGTACAACAGTGAAGTTACAGATACGTGTCATAAAAACAGCTCTTTACAAAATATTTTACAGTATTCACATACATATTGTCTTAAATAACAAACATACTTTTGTGGATATATACAAGGCGGTGAGAGTGTTGTATAATTTGAGAAATAAAATAAGTTACAGGTGTATAAATTATTTACTAAGTGCTGAATGGACGGATGGGCGTCCAGCGGTGGAGTGTCTTCTTTAAGGTCAGTGGTTCTCAGTTGTCAGAGTTATTCTGCAGACAGAATTAAGTTTACTGTTATCAATCAGCATTAACTCTGATGTTAATAGTAAACTTGGGAAACTTGCAGACGGTAATTTACCTTTTCGGAGTTTGTTTTGAGTTCCTCCTCCACAAATCCTTACATTTAACAAACGTGACCTCGTCTGTTAATTTATGAGTTTTAGGGTCTTTTACACAGAAAACCATCCTGAAAAAGAAATTCATAAAACACAATCAATATCTGTGAGTAAGTATATTCATCAATGCTAAGTTACAGGTTAAAGGTTGAAGTTTTTTCCTATTACTACAACTTTGTCTACGCAAAATAATGATAAAATAGTGTGTTTTTTTGTCACATTTCCCATATTTTAAATAACACCACTCACTTTTGTTGGGTCTCGCCAGCTCGGATGCGGATTTTGTGAACTTCCATATTAGCGTTGTCGGCGTCACCAGACCACCAAGAAGAAACCATCTTCAACATGTTGGAGGCGGACCAACCGTTTGTCTCCTCCCATTTAAACTTCAACATCAAGAGATCTCCGATATCTATCTCCGTCACCAGCAGGAATGAATGTGTCTTATTTGTTGCAATTTTCTCCTTTCTGCCAGACAGAAGTAGAGAGGAAAGTCAGTGATCTTCTCATTGCCAGTAGAAATAATGTATTTAGCTTAGCCTCATAAACTCTGCACCATAAACCATGAAATAATTACACACAGCAAGACCAAACTTTGCCAAGTCTGTGGTTACATCAGAGTTTATGGTTTCTACCTCATGCTGTGTCCTTTGACTACTGTGCGACTGTTACAGAACAACTCATATAACTTGCAAGATGCAAGTCACAGTGAATAATAAATAATAATAATAATAAATTTGATTTATAAAGCACTTTTCATAAGAGAATCTCAAAGTGCTGTAATTCCCCTTTATAAAGGATTTTAAAAGGCCCACTCACAGTTTAAGCTCCAGGTTTTCAGCCTCCCCCTTTGTTCCGTACAGTGAGACAGTGAGTGAAGGCTCCATCTCTGAACGGTTAACTTTACTGGAGAAGTGGATCTTCAGCTGATAGTGGTAAACTGTAAGAAAGAGCAACAAGTCAGCATCATTTAGGAAAACTTTAAACATGCATGCTGTAGTGAAACTGTTCCAGCTGCAAGTGATCAGACTTTTGAAGTCAAAGTCACCAGAGATTGAAACACTTTTGAGCTCAGGGAGTCTTTGATTCATTTTAAATCACTTCATCAAACATTTTTATCGGATTAGAATTAGCCAATGGAGCTTGTTTTGCAATATTATTAGTTCATCTGACTGTTGGTAAGTAAGAAAAAAGTGCAACTTCCCACAACCTGAAAAAAGAAAAATTAAGAAAAACAATGCCTCTTATTTGCTGATAAAAGTCTACTGACCTCTGAAAGGCATGGAGGCTCGTGTCTTGGTGTACATCTGAACGTTGCGTGCCTTGCGGACCTTGCTGATGTCGTAGCCCACCATGTTGCAGCGGCTTTTGCGGCAGCTGAGACACATGCCGTGGTTAAACATATCACTGCTGCCGCATCGGTAGGCCTTGGCTGCTTCCTGCTCGTTCAGCAGAGAGTCGATGAACAGGTGGACTGAGCGCTCGTGTTCACACTTCACTGCATCTGTGATAGCTGGAGAGGGAAGAGGGAATGATGTTTGATGACACGCATACATAATTATTTGAATATGTTACCTTTCCATTTCTTTACTATCCACATTTATTAGTTATCAACCTATTCAGTCAGACTGATATTAAATTTGACCTTTCCTCGGCTATGTTTGGGGCGCTCTGTTTGTTTTCAGAGTGCTGTGAATGGGGTCTTTGTGCAGCTGACAGGAACAATGTTCACTGCTGAGACAGATTAATGACAAGCAGAGTGTAGCTACAGTGTTTTTGAACCTGCTGGACTGTGTGCTCTGTGTGCCTGTACTAATAATCACAAAAATCTGTATTGTAACCTGTTTGCAACAGATACATCATTGTCTAATGGTTGGTTATACTGGCTGTACTGCGTGTGAGCAGAAATGTTGAATAATGCCTTATTATTTGAATCTTAAATAACTCTGGGGCTGTTTGGATGTTTAAAAACTGTTAAAAAATGACTTCATAACAGTTGTGACTCTGTGAAACGAAAAAAAGGACATAAAATAAATATATTCTGCTGATTTGTTATTCATGTATATATATATCACAATAACTGTTGTCTCACCGTATATCCCAAAGTTAGCGATCTTCTCCAGGGCCCCCCTGAGGTTGCAGCCTGGCTGGAAGCTGCCTCCGTTGGGGTAAATGTCTACGTGGCCGACAGGCTGCTGGATCCCGATGCTGAGACCCAGGGAGCCCCGTGTGAAGGTGTGGAGGACATCCACAAAGTGAGCATCGTCAGGGGAGAGACGTCTGTGGGCGTGCATCCCCTCAAAGTCAGGACCAGCTGGGTCCAGACCTGCCAAGAGACAGCGAGAGGTTAACAGTGATTTCAACCAATCAACTCACAGTTAACTGATCTTTTAATTTAATTTAACCACATGTTATGTGTCAAAATGTTTTGTTTACCAGTTATTCTTCCGACTTTATTGGTTGCGTGGCTTCCAGCAAATCCGGCTACATGAGCGCCAAGGCTGTAGCCAATCAGGTGGATGTTCTCAAGAGGCATGTTGGTGGTTTCCTTTAAAATATGAAAATATGATTTCGATAGTGAGACAAATACTCCTTTTTACTGATAAACTAAACATGCAGAAGATATTTTTTAAAGTGACACATCCTGTTACAAAGTGAATGCAT